ATGCTAATATTATTATTAACTGAGCACCTACTACATGGCAGATATTAGAGAAACAAGGATGACTAGGCGGCTTTCCAGTTTCCAAGGAGTTTACAGTCTCATAAGAATTATACATGAACAAATAAGTGAACTGCAGTGTTACAGAGCCACAGCCTGAAACAGAGAGACAGAATACACAAATTAATATAAATGGCAGATACAAGCATGCATGCACACACAGATGCACCCACGCGCGTGCAACAACTGGCAACTGGTGAGTTACAAACAAGAAGGTGCTCCTTCCCCTTGGAAGGAGGGAAGCCAGGAAAGGCTCCACAGAGAACCTGACAGCTGAGCTGAGTCTTACGATACAAATAGGTGCTTGCCAGGAAAGACGGTACCAGGACATCCAGGCAATTAAGGCATGTGAGAAGGGGCAATAAAACAGTACTACTCATTGATTCATTCAATAAATGTTTATCAAACGCCTCCTCTGTGCTTGGAACAGTTTTAAGTACCAGGCTACAGCAGTAAATGACATTGACAAGGTTTCTGCTTTCAGTGAGCTAACATTTTAATAGAGGAGACTAACAATAAACCAGTAAACAAATACATAAAGCAAAGAGCTATGAAGAAAACACAGTAAGGTGGCTAGAGTGAGACTAGGAGCAGTTTGCCCAACGAGGTATAGAGAGTGAGAGATGTGAGCAGAGCTGCCCACTGTTTTCTAGGCAGAGGGCTTTCCCCAAACTCTCTCAGCCTCTTACTCCACCCCAAGGATGTGGAGTGAGTTACCCGGCTGCGCACTAAAGCAAGCATGTGATCCACGCCTCCTCTTGGGTAACGTGAACTCCACTGGGTACAGCTAGAGTTTTGCGTACAGGGGTGGGGGAGGGGATTTTGGTGTCCTTCCTTCCTTTTCATTTATTTATTTTCAATTTTCACCAGAGGATATTTTTTCTATTGATTTTTAGAGAGAGTGGAAGGGAAGGAGGGGAAGAGAGAGAGAAAGAGACGCATCGATTGGCTGCCTCTCGTATGCACCCCAATCAGGGGGCTGGGGATGGAACCTGTAACCCAGGTACATGCCCTTGACGGGGAATCGAATCCAAGACCCTTTGGTGCTCAGGCCAACGCTCTACCACTCAGCGACACCGGCCAGGGTTTCTCCTTCCTTCTCACAGAGAGTGACCCATGCAATGACTCGAACTTTCCTGCAGATGAGCTGTTCCCAGGCCCCGGCTGAGGAAGAGAGGTGGACGCCCACTTTTGGCTCTCAACGCCCAATATAATTTCTAATTCAGTTAACTGTTACCAGTCAAAAAGCTGCGTTTCGGCCTCCATCTGCCTTACAACACTTGTCTTATTTCTCAGTTGTCTTAAAACTTGGGAAGGGAGGAGAACTCTTAAAAAGTTTTGTACAACAAAAGCCTTCCCTCTTCCAACAGACACCTCAAAACTAAATTAGGAACCACTATCCTAATCTATTAAGCCTGTCACCTTAAGAAAAAAATGCTTCAAATCTCCTGAATAGCTCCAAAGACAGTGCGAGGTGTTTGACTGAAAAGCCTGGCCCCAATAGTGTAATAAGGCACATTCGACAGAATAGTGAATTTGGGGGTGGGGGTGGAAAACGATGCTTTTAGTGCCAGTGCAAAACGAGGCTGCACAGTTCATGGTTGGTGGCCACGAAGAGGAAGGCGAGGAAGGCGAGGAAATGTGAACTCTTCAGATAGTCTTACTTTGTGATTTCGTATCTACATGTTTTCAAAAACCACACTAGAAGAAGGATTTTTTTTATCTTTTCTCTGAAGAATTTAAAAGCATTTTCAATATATTTACAAACCTGCTTCACAGTTTCCTTATGAGACGGGTGGGACTCTATTGCTACCGTGGAGGCATGGTTACTATCTGCAGGGCTCGGTTCTGAGCATTAGGGAGAACTTGTTTAAAAGATGACAAATAAGATAGATAGTTCCTGACCTTGAAGGCCTTACCCTCTACCTAGAAAGACTGCTCAGGCTCTGAAGCACTATGCATCAAAAAAGGAAATCCAAGACAAGTGTCAAATAGATGGCAGGTTGTAAAAAATGCTTCAGGAGTTCAGGGGAGGAAAGCGTCTGTTGAAATCAAGAATGATTACAATGGTTTCATGGAGGATTTCACAGGTGAGGGAAATGTTAAAAGCCCAACTACACACACTGCAGCGACTACAATTAGAGTGTGCACCTCGGGCAGAAGCTCCTAGGAGACGTGCAGTGTGTGTTGTATTTCTCTGCGCAGCCCTGCGGTGCCCGGCGCTGCCCTCTGCCAGGGTCAGTGTCCCCTGCATCTGTGTCGCACGCTTAATGGGCACTCCGTTTCCCCAGATTCCACTCGGCTCTGGTTCACTGCCCACGCTCCAGGCAGGAGCAGCTGACCGCGCTGGACAGGAAACGCTGAACCCACCAAGCCGTTCTCAGAGCTGCTCTGCCGCAGGGGTGGTGGCAAGCTGCCTCGTTGCCTCCTTTCATTCGCTAAGGCGGGCAGGCCCTGCCAGCTCTGCTGGCACACTCAAGGCCTGCAGGATTTTACTACAGACATTGCCTTCTCCCTCATTAAGTCCCGGCTCAGTGGGGAAATGAGGCAAGTGTTAATAGCAGGGACAGATAGTAACAATTACCAAGTCCACATGCTCTGCAGGGGGGAAAGGCAGGCCAGGATTAGGGGGAAGTGAAAAAGGGGGCACCGGGGTTGTGCTCACCCTGCCCAGGATACACTGGCTGCCCCATTGTATTGTTTCTGGCTGCACAGGCATGTTGCTATGGAACCAATACATGCCACTGCTACTTGGCCTCTAGCAAACAAAATCTCAGCGCTGGCAAGAGCATCTCCCTAGATTTCCCTTAAAGGGACACACTGATGGTGAGTGCTGTCCAAGCTTAGGAACAACAGCGGTATTGTTCCAGGGTCCAGCCCTGCTGCCCAGCCCAGCAACTCGTGTTTTAGAAGGTGTACATGCATGTGGACGTACGTGATCCAAACCCAAGTGTGGGGACCAGCCTCGGAGTGGCTTTTTAAGAAACCCGTGGCCTTGGTTTGTATTTAGTCTCCCCCACAACTGGTAGAGGCAAACAGCTTGTCATATTTTGGGTAATAATTTGATGCTTCCTGACTGTCAACTTCAAACAACTTATGTCCCCAGCAGGGAAGCAAAGCAGCCGCAAGTGGTCAGCATCAGTTCAGGTGGCCTTATTTTATCCCTTTACCATTGCTTACCCCCCGGCTCCTCTCTCCCAGTTCACTCTTTACTGAAAGACTAGTACACGGAGGCATGGGATCTGGCACTTCCCCACTTTCCAAAGGTCCTTAGTGATCTTCTATTTCAGTCTTATCAACCTCTTGATGCCACAGAGACGGTGAGCTTCCCCAGAGAGCAGTGGATCTCCACGCCCCACATCACACTGTGCTGTGCTCTGAGGATAAACCTGTCAAGCTTTTCTTGGATGAAGAAATAGGAACCCTGGAGTTCACACTTCTAATGAACGCACGTTCACGCATACCACACGCCGGGGCAGAGGAGCGATCAACATTAGAGGCCTAGGCAGGCGATCCCTTAGGGAACCAGCGATCCATATCCTCATTTCCATTAGGACCATCTCTGCACCCTGACAGGGAGACACGTCCAGTTTCTAAAACAGGACTGCAGTTAGGGCAGAAAAGAAGCCCCTCTTTATTTAGTTAAAATGATTAAGTTGACAAGTAGGATAAAATAATGGACACAGGCTCTCAATATCGCACTTAAACGGATCCCTAAATGAGATTAAATGTTTTGGAAAACAAGTGCACTTAGCTCACCGACTTAAGTGACCAGGGCCCAGAGCCAGACCCAGCACAGGCACCCGCAAAAGAACCTCAGGCAAGTCCACCTGCAGGGATTCCGATGGAGAACTGCATTCTCCATCATAACCCTCAACTGAATTCTCATGTTCAAAACAGTATAGCTTTAAAAAAAAAAATGAAGTGTTACTCTGACAGTCTCTCGGACGGCTGGCCGAGCTCACGCTGTGCTCCGAGAAGCCTGCTCGGCACTGCTCTGCAGGTGCAGACGGGGCGAGCGGGGGCGAGCGGGGGCGAGCGGGCCTGCAGCTGGCCGGGCCACACCTGCACCCGGCTACTAGCTGCGGCACAGATTCAGCCCCGGGCCTCCGCGCGGGGTGCGGCGTTGCAAATGCAGTGGTTTGGGAACCGCACGGAGGAAAATAGCCCACTCAGCTGAGGTCCATCGCAGGAGCGCCCTGGGTGTACCCGCTCCGCCCACTTCTCCTGGTAGCAGGCAAGTGTGATTTCTAGAAAGTTAAACAGCTAAACGGCATCACTCCTGAGGCACTTGCCTCAGAGGGATGTTATCATTAGTTTATTGGTATTACTTCAGGTCCAACTACCTATAACTGTATCCTCAGAAGGAATTGGGATTCTAAAGGTAGTTCTGAGGAGGGGCGGGCTGGAGGAATGGGGAGACCACACGGTGGGAGTCAAATGTGTCTCCAATGATCCCAGCTCTGCACTGTCTGAGAAGCCCTCAGCCCAGGGACGTGACACCAGGGCAGCAGCAGCTGTGCCCAGATGAGCTCGAAGGTCCCGTCCAGCGCCCTCTCTGAGCATTCACGAAACAGTGCATTATGTACACAAAACAGATGGTTTTCCCTCGCCCACAGCCCCGTTTCTATGCATCAGTCACTGAAAAAAGGAAGCTTCCTCTGTCAACCTCTCTGCAGCTGGCTGAGGTAAGAGCAGCGATGGTAGCTGCTCATAACAGGTAACTCAGGGGACAGCAAAAGGAACTGCAGAAAACACGAGAGCGAACCTTCCCCTCCGGAGGGAGGGCGACGTGGGATGAGCAGAAAGAACATCTTGGCTACAAGTGGGAGAAAACGTCTAGCGAGTGTGTTCTCTCAGGTACTTTTTCTTAGAGCATTGCAGAAACTGGATAACATTTTGATGTGGGTAAAAATACATAAAAGAGTCAAAAGATCACTCACCGTATGAAAACAGCAGACTTGCGTCTCTGCACGGAGAAAACGCACTAATTTCTTTGGAAAACTGGAAGAGAAAAAGATTTAAACAAAATTAAGTCCACTCTGTAACTCAGCACAGGTATGCAGGCCTGCAGGGTATGCGGAATCCCAGCCTCCGGCACTCAGACACTCACTAGGGGCACAGGAAATGTCTGAGGAACAGTGGGTGGATAGTGGTGTGGCTGACTGTATAAATTTTAAAAAAAAGAACTTTGAACAATTAATACGCAGAAAGCAATCGCACGTGTGATTCCTTTACCACGAGAGATGCAAACCTTATGACCAAACAACGCATATTGCGGTGCCTGAGAAATGAGTTTTGGGGTGGATATTTTAAAATGTCATGTCTACTCCCCCCTCTATTCGGCTGATTGACGATGTCTCAGTAAGTCACCAGAGCACTCTGCCCTTTCCAAATGGCAGACCCACAACTCCAAGCAACCCCCGCTGAAGTCAGTGACCCCACAGGGACCCATAATTGGGCTCAGATGGGAATGTGGAGTTGGCTGGCAGAGAGGCGCTGGGGGCCACATATCAGGCCGGCTGTGTAATCCTGCGAGGAAGCCACGGTGCCTGAGATAAGTGTGGGAAAGAACCGAGATGATGTGCGTGCTGGAGAGGAAGCCTGAAAGACAAAGGGAGATAAGGGGCGGCAGCAGCAGACTGTGTAATCTACATCGCATAAGCAACTAAGCTCCAGATCCAAGTTTTAAAATATTTCCAGACTGTTTTAAAGACGCCTTTGCAGGTTTAGGAGGGGACGTGAGGCAAAGCTAGTCTAGTTCCCAGGACAGGCAACTTTCACATGATCCCAGAGCATTTGGGATTGAGTCTATGTGCTGCATGAAGGCCACGCTCGCCCTCCCTTTCCCTAAAAGGGAGAGAGGGGTCTGGCCACGAGGGCGGGAGGGACAGTCTCCCCCTCCTCAGTACCTCCGCTGGGGGCAGGTTCTCCGAACCTGACAGGCAGGCCTCACAGTCCCAGGGAGAAGTCACCGGCTGTACCTTCAGACTGCGCTGGGGG